AGTAGTGAGGTTGGCCCAGGATCGGGCAGTGTTTCCTTCGGCTGTGCATAAGGTCATTATGGATCTGTACTGACTCGATGGCACCTAACAACAAAATGGAATGGTGTGTACAGTCTGTGCGCTGGACTGCAAAGTGGTTTGAACTGCAAAGTTGGCAGTTCAAGCTCACTAGCCATTCCTTGGAAACCCTATACAGGGTTGCTATGAGTCGGAACTGACTTGATGGCACTCAACAACAACAGCATGGAGTGGTGTGGCGCTGTAGGATAAGCACTGGAGTGTTAATCAAAAGGTTGCCAGTTCAAACCCATCTCCTGTTCCTTGGAAACCCTATACAGGGTTGCTATGAGTCAAAAGTGACTCGATGGCATTTAGCAACATGGGTAGATATATGGATCCATGCATTAGGCTGAATGGGGTTGTGAGGGAGAGAGGAAGCATACCTACGAATATAAAAAGGTTTATAGATAATATTTGTATATGGATATTAATTTACCTTAACTGCTAACATATCCATGAATATGGTAAACCATAAACACCCACTGCCATCAAATTGCTTCTGACTCATACTCACCCTGTATAGTGTTTCTGAGGCTCTAAACTTTTATAGGAGCAGAAAGCCTCATCTTTCTTCTGCACAGCACCTAGAGGGTTTAAGCTGCTGACCTTGAGGTTAGCAGTCCAGTGCTTATACTATAGAGCCACCGGGGGTCCTTGGTGGAGCATTGTCATTATTGTTAAGTGCCATAGAGTCGGTTCCAACTCATAATGACCCTGTGTAGGGTTTCCAAGGAGCAACTGGTGAGTCAGAACCTCTGATCTTTTGGTTCAAACCAAACTTGCATTATCCTGCAGTGCCATATCAGGCATGTTTTTATTGTTATGTGCTGTCAAGTCGATTCCGACCCATAGCAACCCTGTATAGGGTTTCCAAGGAGCAGTTGGTGAGCTTGAACCACCGACCTTGCAGTTCAAACGACTTTGCAGTCTGGTGCATTAGCCCACAGTGCCACACCAGGCATACAAGGTGCAGAATTATGAAAACTTCTCAAACATTATGAAATATCTCAAGAGAATGAATCACTGGGCCTGGGGGCTCAAGATTATAGCCTTGGGGAACACCATGGTCAATTGGAATAACCTAGTCCACAGAGACAATGTTCTATCTCTTACTTTCCTGAGTAGCAACTTGTTGTTGTTGTTAAGTGCCGTCAAGCCAATTCCCACCTATAGCGGCGCATTGACCCACAGCACCACACCTAAGGATCTTAAAAAGTTCATGAGCGGCCATCTAAGTTCCATCTATTGATCTTCTACTGTCTGGAGGAAAGAAGAGCGATACAAATTGAAGCCGTTTGCAAACAGTTAGTACAGTGGACTAATAATGGACCACGGGAACATTGATCTCCACAGCTCTACAATGAGAAGAAGCAGATGGTACCTGGTTACCACTATCAACTGCTCTGAAAGGGATCACAGGAGAAAATGTGGAACAAACTTCAAAATCATTTTTTAAAAGACCAGGCATACTGGTCAGCTCTTCAGCTCTTCTGGTCTTCTTACATTTGTGACTCAATCTTCAGCCAAGCAGTAGATGGGCATATAGTGGGGGATAACATCACTAGTGAGATAAACACACCATAGAATTGTCAACCATTCAAAACTTAAATAGCAACATTTACCCAAAGACAAAATTCAGAAGGGTTGGGAAAGAAGGAGGAATGGAAACAAGAACCACAGGGAGGAAGTGTGATAAGTGATGTTACATCAGGGGATTGCAATCGAGATGAAACAAAATGCATAATTTATTGAATGTGAAAGTAATGATTTGTTTTGTAAACCTTCACTAAATTCACAATAAAAACTTTTTTTTTTTTAAAGCCACTGGACATTAAGGAATAAAAGAACAAAGTAAAGATGTTCATGAGAGAGAAGTATATGTAAGCTAATGACATATCACAATTGTGGTTTTAACTTTCAGTCTTTCTTTCAATGGCTAAGATTCACTAGAAAGCACTAACAAGATAATTCTCTCTTTGGATTCTCTTTTCTATGCTTACATTAGTGGACTATTGTCTTTAAAGAAAGAAAATTCGGTGAATTAGCTTAAACACAAGACAACAACAAAACCACTGTAGTTGCTACTTCTGAAGCCAAGGACAGGGAAGTAGGATGATTCTCAGATGGGTATAAATTACTGTATCACATTTCATTGTTCTTGAGAAATTGTTTCATTATATAATTGAAACAGACAGATTCATATAACCAAAAGCCCAGTTCAAGTTGGCCTGAATATGCTCTATCTTCCCTTCCAGGGACAACTTGTACACATTCAGTCAGATTGAGTAATAACGGTCTTTGTAATTAGGGCCAGTACATAGGAAGAAGAGATACGTTTTCCACTGACTCACGCTACTGACTAGAGAAGAAAAATATTTGATACTGCTTAGGTTTGCTCCAGAGTTAAACTGTAAGATGTAATCTTAAATTCTTAAAATCCAACCTTAAAAAAAAACATGTTAAGGTCATAAAGAAAGCAAAGTAGGACTCTCTTTTTATCCTATCATACCATGGACTTAAATTCATTAGTTTCCTTTTATGTTACCCACCCTCAACATCTGTCCTCACAAAATAAAGTCCTGCCAGTAATTTATACTTTGAATTCTCTACAGTAACTTAGTGTTTTAACATAAGAAAATTTCCAAAATCTCAAATGTTCCCTTTCATAATCAGCAACTAAATGTCTGGCAGTTAGCTACACAATTAACTATGAAATATTTGTTAGTAACTATTCTCTTAACAGAGTCTAGTCCTGGTGTGGCGCTGTGGGTTAATGCGCCAGACTGCAAAGCCGTTTGAACTGCAAGGTCGGCAGTTCAAGCTCACCAGCTGCTCCTCGGAAGCCCTGTACAGGGTCGCTATGGGTTGGAACCGCCTCGACGGCACTTGACAACAACAACAACATCATTCTCTTAACAGAGTCCTGGTGTGGCACTGTGGGCTAATGTGCTAGACTACAAAGTTGGTTTGAACCACAAGGTCGGTGGTTCAAGTACACCAGCTACTCCTTGGAAACCCTATACAGAGTGCTATGGGTCAGAACCGACTCGACGGCACTTAAAGCAACAATATTCCCTTAATATTCTGCATTGAAATGAACATCTTTCAGTTTCCAAACTCTTTTTAAAACTTACACTGAGGTAATCCCACAGTTCTACAATTACAATAATGTGTGAGACCAAGTCTACAAGCTTTATAACATAGTTTATTCATAAATAATTCTGACATCAAACTTATACAATACAATACAAAAGAGGCAGGGGCATTGGCACAATTCATAAAACTAGGTCTGTCTGACTCAGAAGAAAGATAGAAAATGAGAGAGAATGGGGTTTGTAAATGTGTCCCACTTTTCTTTATGTTCCTTTTAAATGTCAAGGATTTCAATTGACTAAATATAAACACAGTATCCCAAAAGGCATTGCTAATAATTATTAGTGCACATAAAGAAAATTATTTTTAACCCAACTAGATCTAAGCATTGAAAGCAGCACTGAGGAAGCCAAATAATACTGTGTGTTCAAGAGTATTTTGCATTCAAGTAGTTAGTATGATGCATTAAACTAGTTATAATCCTTTGTTACCTGTATATTCCAGAACAACAGTGAGAACCCAAAAGGAGAACACTATATCATTTGATCAAATCAATGAAGTCAATCAAATATACTTTTCTGGTGATAATTATGTCCAATTGCTATGCAACTGATTGCATCATGGTGTAATTAATTGACTTTAGTTCTTCAGGCTACTGAAATTAATGGAGCTTATGAAATATGGTCATATTTCAGTTACTTAACTGACCATGTAGTAATCAGTTAACCTGTAAATATTCTAGTCAGCTATCACTATAAAATACAAGAGTTCATTAGTATGATAAAATAATATTTCTTAACAGAGTAATAGAAAGAACTATAAATGATCAGATCACTAGAATTTAATTTAATATGTCAGAATAATCAAGAAAACATTTATCAGTTGTTGTTTTTTTATTTTTAAAATTTTTACCAGTGCCAGATCATTTTTTTTCTTTGTTCAGTTTCATAAGAAATTAATAATGTCAAACTCTTTTCATAGGCACAGTGACTTCAAGAGTTTCAGACTCCAGAATATAAACAGCCTTCGCACTGTTGCATTTAACAGGATGTGGGAAGGGGAGCAACAACTTCCTAAAAAAACAAAAATCACAAGAACCTTTAATCAGCTTTCTAAAGTCAAATCAAGATGATATTACTTTTGATAAGATAATATAAAACAACACACACCATCAGAATAATGCTAGAAACCAAAAAACAGTATTTAGACAGTATAAGTACTGCATCAAAAATATACCCCAAAACACAAATAGTACACTTTTTTGGCCTTGAAAATTCAAGCATTTTTATTGACCCCCCTCATTTTTTTAAAGTGACCTCATTTTACATTATATAAATATAGTCTCAACTATGAGTCCTGATGTGGCACTGTGGGTTAATGCGCCAGACTGCAAAGCCATTTGAACTGCAAAGTTGGTGGTTCAAGCTCACCCGCCGCTCCTAGGAAACCCCATACAGGGTCACTATGGGTCGGAACTGACTCGATGGCACTTAACAACAACAAATTTATAGGCATAGAAATAGAACCATTGCAACCATAAGTTAATTAGGCAGATCTATTGCCAGTCATATTTATGTATATATGGAATATGGCTGACTGATACCTGAAAACTTGAATGGTTCTAGAATACACCTGCTAGCACAATTTTAGCATAAGCCTCTACAATGTGTGTAGTTATTGAAACTCAGGTCTGAACGGATTACAATAGCAGATCAATGTTTATGGTTCTTTCTACTATACATTGACAAAAATTCTCTGTGATAGGTTGCTAGGTTCATTTTGCACTTTATGGCTCAGTTGCTGGGTAGTTGTATGCTTTAGATGCATTGCTGGGGATGAGACATCCATAATTCTGACATAGTGGCATGAATCTGAATTATTCATGGGGTCAGCACACGCTGGTCTCTGAAGAAAATTAAATGCATAGAACACTTGTTACCTTACATTCTTGATAGAGAGGCCTGAATAGCTCTATAAAAAGTGGATTCAAAAGCTCTCTTAGAAGATATGAGAACCAAATCAGAACAAGAATACAGTATTTTAAAGGAGTACTTATTGAGCATGCGAATAGAGAACTAGTTATTTGAGAACAAAAGACTTGAAAATCAATTCTTTCTTTATTCACTTGCTAAAGACCTAAGTTCAAGATGCTGGGTTCACTAAAAATATTTATTACAAATATCTGGAACCCAAAGGAGAATTTTTCTGTGAACCTTGTTCCATTCCACATACTTGAGGTAGGAGAAATGGCTCCCTCCACCTGAAGTAATGAAATAGCAAGTATTCTTAATGTACCTGGTGACATTTGATGTCTCAAAAAGAAATGGGCATAAACAATGTTCAGAGTCCATCTTTTAAAGCTGTTTACAGTGTAGGCTGTGCTAGGAGTTAGATTTGCTTTATTCCTTAGTCTATAAATGATAATATATTCACTTTCAGAAGAAAGTGAAGTGGTTGCTTCATTGCACTAAAAGACTGAAATCAGCTGAGGAAGGAGTTCCAATGATAATGTGCACTTCTCTGTCTAGAGAGAAATAAATTCAAAAGAGACAGTTAGTGGCCATTGGAATGATCCATCTCTCCCTGCATTTCTGTCTAGTCTTTAGTAGTATGGTTTTGCATACTAAAATTTTGAACAATAGAAACTGTGCAACCTATTAGGCTCTTGTTGTTGTTGTTGTGTGCCGTGGAGTTGGTTCCAACTCATAGAGACCCTGTACAGGGTTTCCGAGGCTATAAATCTTTACAGGAGCAGAGAGCCTCATCTTTCTCCCACAGAGCAGCTGGTAGTTTTGAACTGCTGACCTTAAGGTTTGCAGCCTGATTCGTAACCACTACGCTACCAGAGCTCCTTTTAGGAGGTAGGAAGTATTTCTGTCTAGTCTGTTTTAGTGTCTGATATCTGAACTAATATTTATATTTAAGCAAAATAAAATTCTACAAATACTTAGCTATATACAATTCATGGAAGGATAGGACTATACCTGTAGAACAGTGAATTATTTGATACAGCTCTTCTAACCATAGTCTCTGTAACTCCCACCAAATGACTGGGTGGGACCATGCAGATAGGGGGTATAGAACTCTAACTTCGAGATTGGTTAGTTTTGCTATCCTGCTAGGTTTAAAATGAGCTATCTTAGAAGCAGGAATGGGGGAATCTCACTGCCATCGAAAAAGGAGAGTCAGCAGCAGAGCGCATCCTTTACACCCCTCAATCCAGGAGACAGAGTTGTGATACCAGAGTGGCAGAGAAGTGGCAGCAGAAGAACCAAGAACATGAGACAGAGCAGTGGGCTTCCTGGTCCACAGATCCAGTAAAGCTGAGTGTCCTCTCTTATGGAGTGGGGTGCCTCTAGGCACTTGATTACTGGAGCTAGTTTTGCAGACTCACAGAACTAGAGCTGAGCACCTTTATGCTGAGGCTTTGGCGGTGTGGAATGTCCTTTGGGCATTTATCAGCACCACTAAAAGAGCCTTGCAACATTGCACAAGTAGGGCAGTGGCCAAAGAACTGCATTGCTGAAAGGTAGAGGAAGATTGAGAGGTGCTCCTGACCAAAAAAATATAGCGACCCTATGCACAACAGAATGAAACACTGAGCCATCTTCACAATTGCTGCTATGCTTGAGGTCATTGCTGCTGCCACATCTCATTGGGGGGGGGGTCTCCCTCTTTTTCGCTGACTAAATATTATTTTACCAAACATGATGTCCTCCAGAGACTAGTCCCTCCTGATAAATATGTCCAAAGTATGAGAGACAAAGTTTAGTCATCTTGGCTCCTAAGTAACATTCTAGTTGTACTTATTCCAACACAGATTTGTTTGTTCTTCTGGCAGTCCATTATACCTTTAAAATTCTTCTCCAATACCATATTTAAATGTATCAGTTCTTCTATGGTCTTCATTACTGTCCAATTTTCACAATGAAAATACCATGGTATAGAAAATACCATGGCGTGGGTCAGGCTCACTTTAGTCTTCAAACTCACATCTTTGCTCTTCAACACTTTAAAGAGGACTTGTGCAGCAGATTTCTCTAATGCAATACGTCATTTGATTTCTTGACTGCTACATTAAGGAGCTCTGGTAGCATAGTGGTTACGAATCGGGCTGCGAACCTTAAGGTCAGTGGTTCGAAACTACCAGCTGCTCCGCGGGAGAAAGATGAGGCTTTCTACTCCCGTAAAGATTTACACCCTCGGAAACCCTATACAGGGTCGCTATGGGTTGGAACCGACTCGATGGCACATAACAACAACAACACTTCCATTATTGTTGATGGTGGATCCAGGCAAATGAAGTTTTAGACAACTTCAATCTATTCTCCATTTATCATAATGTACTTATTGGTCCCTTTGTGAGGATTTTTGATTTCTTTATATTCAGGTGTATCCCATAACAAAGGATGTAGTCTTTGATCTTCATCAGTGAGTATTTTAAGTCCTCTTTGCTTTCAGCAAGCAAGGTGGTATCATCTGCATATCACAGGTTGTTAATGAGTCTTCCTCTAATCCTGATGCCACATTCTTCACATAATCCAGCTTTTCAGATTATTTGCTCAACATACAAATTGAAAAAGTATGGTGAAGGAATACAACCCTGGCACACACCTTACCTGATTTGAAACCATTAAGAATCCCCTTATTCTGTTCAAATGATTGCCTCTTGGTCTATGTACAGGTTTATCATGAGCACAATTAAGTGTTTCAGAATACTCATTCTTTACACAGCTTGTCATGATCCACACAGACAAAAGTCTTTGAATAGTCAATAAAGCACATGTAAACATCTTTCTGGCATTCTCTGCTTTCATTCAAAATCCATCTTACGTCAGCAATGAGACCCCTCTTTCCACATCCTTGTCTGAATCTGGCTTGAACCTCAGTCAGTGTACGGTTGCAGCAGTACTTAAATTATCTTTAGTGAGATTTTACTAGCTTGTAGTATTACTGATATTGTTGGATGATTTCTGCTTTCCCTTGGGTCACCTATCTTTGGAATGGGCACAAAAATGAATTTCTTCCAATCAGTTGGCCAGGTCTTCCAAATTCATTGGCATAGATCAGTGAGTGCCTCCAGTGCTACATCAGGTTGTTGAAAGATTTCAACTTGTATTCCATCAATTCCCACAGATTTGTTTGTTTTGCAAATACCTTCAGTGTACCTTGGACTTCTACCTTCAGTACCCATCCGCTCTTGGCTCTTGGCTCTTGATCATATGCTACCTCTTGAAATGGTTGAATATCAACCATTTCTTTTTGGTACAGTGACTGTGTATTCTTTCCATCTTCTTTTGATACTTTCTGTATCATTCAATATTTTGCCCATAGAACACCTCAGTATTGCAAGTTGAGGCTTGACTTTTTCCCTCAGTTATTTCAGCTTGAGAAATGCTGAGTATGCTCTTACCTTTTGGTTTTCTGGCTCCAAGTCTTGGCACATTTCATTACATTTGACAATGCCTTCTCAAGCTACCCTTTGAAATGTTCTGCTCAGCTCTTTTACCTCCTCATTTCTTCCATTTGATTTAGCATCTTTACACTGAAGGGCAAGTTTCAGAGTCTCTCCTTTTCCTTCTTCCTTGTCTTCTTAATGACCTTTTGCTTTCTTCCTGTATGGTGTTCTTGATCTCATCCCACAACACTTCTGGTCTTTGACCATTAGTGTCTAATGTCTCAAATATGTTCTTGATATGGTCTATAAATTCAGGTGGGATATATGTTCAAGGATGTATTTTGGCTCTCGTGGACTCGTTTTAATTTTCTTCAGCTTCAGCCTGAACTTGCATATGAGCAATTGATGATCTGTTCCACAGACTGCCACTTGCTTGTTTTGGTTGATGATATGGAGCTTTTCCACCGTCTCTTTTCACAGATTAAGTCAATTTGAGTTTTGTGTTCTCCATCTGGTGAAGTCCATGTGTATAATTATCTTTATTTACCATGAAGAAGTCATTGGTCTTGCAAAACTCTATCATGTGATCTCCAGCATCATTTCTATCACCAAAGATATACTTTCCAACTCTGTTTCCAACATTTGCATTCCAATCACCAGTACTTATCAATACATCCTGATTGTATGTTTGATTAATTTCAAACTGTCTTTAGCGGGAGGTGCATGAATTTGAATAATAATTGTATTAACTGGTTTTCCTTGCAAGCGTATCGATATTATCCTATCACAGACAGCATTATACTTTAAGAAAGATCTTGAAATGTTCTTTTTGATGATGTATGGGACACTATTCCTCTTCAATTGGTCATTCCCGTCATAGTAAACCATGATTGTCAGATTCAAAATGGCCAATAACAGTCCATTTCAGCTCACTAATACCTAGAACATCAATATTTAGGTGTTTCATTTCATTTTTGACAACTTCCAATTTTCCTAGATTCATACTTCATACATTACATTCCATGTTCCAAATATTAATGGATGCTTACCCTCACTTTGAGTTGTGCCCCATCAGCAAATGAAGGTCCTGAGGGTTTTACTCCATTCGCATCATCACAGTCAACTCTACTTTGAGGAGGCAGCTCTTCCCCAGTTGTATTTTGAGTGCTTTCCAACTGGAATGGCTCATTTTCCGGCACTGTGTCTGACAGTATTCTGGCACTCTTCATCATGTTTCCATATTCAATATACTGGTTCTGACAGTGCTTCACTGCTATTCATAAGATTTTCAGTGTGGTGTTGTAGGTTAATGTACTGGACTGCAAAGTCAGTTTGAATCACAAGGTCAACGGTTCAAGCTCACCATATGCTCTTCGGAAACCCTATACAGGGTCACTGTGAGTCGGAACTGACTCGATGGTACTTAACAACAACAACAAATATTAGGAAATAGTCCATCTCTCTAACTTCTTAGTCTATCTTAATCTGGAAGCTCATCTGAAACCTGTGCACCATGGGTGGGTGGCCCTGATGGCATTCAAAATACTGGTGGCATAACTTCCAGCACCAGAGCAACACGCAAAACACCACAGTGTGACAAACTGACAGAAGAGTGGTGGGAAGTGTCAAGTGGGAAGTAAATAACAATAAATATAGTGTTACTTGATGTCAAAATTGAATAAAAAGAAAAATGGGGAAAAGAAACATTGATATAAAATTGATTCGTGTTTATAATGACTCTATAGGACAGAGCAGAATTGCTTTTATAAGGTGTCTAAGGTTGTAATCTTGATGGCAGCAGACTTCCGGGTCTTTCTCCTACAGAACAGCTGGTGTGTTTGAATTGCTGACTTTTTGGTTAGCAGTCGAATACTCAACCACTGTGCCACCAGGGCTCCTCCAAAACTAAAGAAAGTTGGTATGAATAGCAATAAAATACAAATTTAAAACATCAAGACACAGTTCTGACAAAACACATTCAGGTTCTAAAGGGAGTCCTGGTTTCACGCTGCAGGATAATGCCCTGGACTGTACGACTGACTTGATCTATAAGGTTGACAGCTCAAACTTACCAGCCACTCCTCGAAAACCCTACACAGGGACGCTATGAGTCAGAACCTACTCGATAGCATATAACAACAAAGGATGCTTAGGTGCTTAAAAAAATTGTTTAAACCCTTGTTCAATATTCTATTTTTGTCTTCTATCTTAATAAAGTTTTTTTATGAGACAATATCTCTCTGCACTTAATATTTAATATATAAGTAGAGTATGAACCAAATGTCTGAGTGCAGCCAGTGTTCTATATGAAAACGTTTCTCTCTGTGAGCCTTCATTTATTGGGTTCTGATAGACATCTAGAATAGCCAGCGCAGCTGCCTGAAGATTGATGGAGACAGTGAGAACTGTTAGGGAAACGGAAATTAACTCCATGGTGTGTAGATATGTGTATGCTTTTAACAAGTGTGAAATGTCATAAAAGATTGACTATTCATTTAACTAACTTTTCTTGCAAAGATTCTGTGTAAGAATTAAATGCATGTATATTATGAAATGAAAAGGGTACACTACTCTATGAAATGAATGATAGGAATAGTGAATGTCATTTTTATAATGGGTATTTTTTGTGATAATACATCTTTGGAATTATGAAAGTAATGAGAAAAGATGTGATATATAAGTATCCATCTGTAGATAATTTTGAGTTAAAGGCAGCTACTGTAGAATTCAAGATTAAGCTATATGCACATAGGGATCTTGCGTAGGAAGGACTTACTTTTTATTTTCTTGAAGCCTTAAGATCAACAAAGGAGAATTATAGTTATTGATAATGAAAGGACAGGAATGCACTAGCAGCTGCCTGCTCCTTTACCCCAGTATGAAATGCTCATGAGTTAAAGAAAGGAGCACTGCAATCAACCAATGTGTGCTCACTGCTATACATCCAAATGAAGAGCAAACAAAGCAATCAGATGTTTATAGAAATTTTCGCTAACACACATCAGGTTCCACGAATTCTCTCTTTATAGAGTTAGTTTTGAAAGACAGAACTGATTTATCCCTGTTTCATAGTAAACATTTATTAGAATTTTTTCCCTCTCACTCTCTCTCTCTATATATATATTGTTTCATGAACATAATTTGAACCTGTGTAATAATTACATTTATTTGAAAATATCAAAATATTTAACTGAATTACTCCATGATCATCTGTATTATTTCACAACCTAGGATCTAGTGACAAATTAGTTAGAATTTTCCTTTTAAGCAAGTGATTACAAGACCTTTTATAGATTTTTTTAGATGAACATAACCAAATTTAACCATGAAGCTCCACAATATGCAATAGATTTAAAGTTATTGTTTCTAGCATTCACAAAAGTTAAAGATACTGCTGTTCTTATGACACCATTGTACAAAAAACTACATGTCAGACTGATTTTCACAGGTGGCCATAACTCTTAAGAGATAAACTGAAGATGAGTGTCAAAGGTTGTTTTGATAGGATCAACCCGCTATCGAAACATCTGGGTGTAAAGTAGAAAAATAATCAAAGCATCCCCAAATATACTGATGTTTACATTATGTAGATCAGACATCTGACTGATTAACTGACTTTCTCCACTTTTCTTCTGTGTTTTGCAACATAAAGAGACAGACATTATGAAATGATGCAATATAACAACACTAGTGCGGTATACATACCACAGAATGGTCAACCATTCAAAATCAAAAGGGCAGCATTCACCCAAGGACAAATTGGGGTGGGAAAGAAGCAGGAAGAGAAACAAGAAACACAGGGAGGAAGTGGGATATAACTGATGTTAGAGGGAGGGGACTGCATCATTGAAATGAAGCAAAGTATATGATTTGTTGAATGCAAAACTGATAACCTGCTTTGTAAAGCTTCACTCAATTCACAATAAATAGTTTAAAAATAAATATGTTTATGTTTTAAAGAGATATTTGCTAAAGACTCATTAATATTATAATACGCTATTCCAATCCTAAGTATTACTCACTTGGTGAGAGTACGGAGGTCAAGAATCGTTTCCTTGATATCCATTTTAATGTCAGAAGGGTTTGTATTTGGCAGTTTAATTCTAACCTGAAAGAGAAAATGGAAAGAAAAATAAAATCTTGAAGCGCAGAGTTAATTTGACCTCTTCAAGAATGGATGGGGATAGGAAGATTAATATTTATTAAATGCCAACTATGTGCCAGGCTGTGCCCTTTTCTACAGTCCTGAGAAGTAGGATTACCTCATTTTACATATGGAGAAACTGAGGTACAGAAAAACTTAATAAGTTGCCCAAGGATGATAATTTATGATTTAACTGAGGATGCTCTGGCTCCAAAGCTATATAGAAACACTTTGATTAATTGCCCATAATCTTTATTCTCTGAAGGTGTATGTCAGTGTACCTGCTAGAGTTTAGTATCTTCAACTGCCTACATAACAGTGGGAAATTGTATAAAAAATTGTTAATTTTCATTTTGGGTATGAGTAAATGATACCATCTCAAAGTCTCCTGGTATAAATTCCCACACCACATTTTCTAGGGAGGTGTAGGAGTCCAGCAAAGTTGTTAACGTAACACAAGAGAAATTATTAATATGACCCTCTCTAAAAGGAGTTCTGGTGTGGCTAATGAGTCAGACTCTGCAAAGTCATTTGAACTGCAAGGTTGGTGGTTCAAGCTCACCAGCTGCTCCTTGGAAACCCTATACAGGGTCACTATGAGTCAGAATCTACTTGATGGCACTTAACAACAATAACAAAAGGACCATGTACTGGTTTAGCATTATTCATTTTAAAATGTCTCATCTTCTTTAATATATATCCCAAGAATCCCTTTCCTGAGTACTCATATATATCCCAAACAATTGAAAACAGGTATTCAAACAAACAAACTATACATAATGTTTTTCTTCATAGCACCACTATTCACATTAGTCAAAATGTAGAAACAATCCCGTTATTTGTCAATAGATGAATGGATAAACAAACGGTGATATATCCACACAATGGAAAGTTGTTGTTGTTGTTAAGTGCCTTGGAGTAGGTCCTAACTCAAAGCGACTGTATATAGGGTTTCCACACAATGGAATCTCAGCCCTAAAAAGAAATGAGGTGCTAATACACACCACAACCTGGATAAACCTTGAAAACATTTGCTACGATTCTAGACACCAAAAGGTCACATATTGTAGGATTCCATTTGTATGAAATATTCAGAATAGACAAATCCATAGAGACAGAAAGATTAGTCGTTGCCAGGGGCTGGGAGAAAGGGGAAATGGGGAATGATTATTTAATAGTATAGGGTTTTCTTTTGGGGTGACAAATATCTTCTGGAACTAGATAGTGGTGATGGCTATACAACATTGTGAACATACTAAATGTCACTGAAGGTAAACTGTATGTTATGTGTATTTTACTTCAATTAAATAAAAAGTCTCTGCTCTGCACTAATCTAATTCATTCTCTGTTGACAGCTGATAAAATATATATGAGATGACATGAACATGTACTTTCTGAAAACAGAGAAATAGAAAACAACCTAACCAAACCCAAAGCCATTGCCATCCAGTCCTTTAGAAAACAACCTAAGGCTGAGGTAAATTACCAAGCTGTCTCTATAAGGAGCTTGACATATTGGACTTCTGGTGATTCCATAGCTGGAATGGCCACAATGAAAACAATATTTTATTTAGGAAACACATATCAAATAATGGGACAACTTGGGATTCTTTGTAAGAATCTTAAAGTAGGCAATAGCATTATTGCAATGTTATGTATGTGGATCAACACGAGGACATGTTGTAAGTTACAAAATAATGTGCTGGATTGCAAAGTCAGTTTGAGCTGCAAGGTCGGCAGTTCAAACCCACCAGCCACTCCTTGGAAACCCTATACAGGGTCGCTATGAGTCAGAACCTATTTGACGACACTTAACTCCAGAGCAACTATTCAAATACATCCTATGGAAATTTTTGGAGTCCTGGTGTGACACTGTAGCCTAATGCACCAGACTGCAAAGTCGTTTGAACTGCAAGGTTGGTGGTTCAAGCTCACCAGCGGCTCCTTGGAAACTCTATGCAAGGTTGTTATGGGTTGGAATTGAGTGGACGGCACTTAACAACAACAACAATGGCAAATATTTAACTAAATAGAGAACTACCTACTAATTTATGTTTTGAAAATTCAGATCTTCATCATTGAAGGTGCTTTAAGTGAAATAAATGAGAAGAATTTCTCTAAGAGGGTAGTGCTCTACCTCAAAGTAAATGAGTATTCTATTGGACAAAGAAAGCCTTATCTTTACCATAATAACATTCAGGTCTGAATTGAGATGTTCTTTAGTCACAGTATGCCAATATATGTTTCTTTAGTCTTGAAACTAAAAGAAACAAGGATTATTTCTCCAGGGTTGCAATGATATTCAAGGAAGAAAAAAGAATTATGACTTATGTGAGACTTAGAAACCACTTTTGGGTAGAACTCTGAAGTCATTACTGAAAACCAATTGCAAATCTAGTGAAGCATAATTCAGAAATAATTTACTAATTTTTCCTCTTGAGGAAATTGAAATTATATACATAATATTTTCAAAGGAGGGACAGGAGAAGAGATAAATTAAGTGGAATAGTACACATTTTTTTAATATTTCACAAGATAAAAGATTCAATGAGGAAATTAATAGACAAATACTTCCAATAACATGACTCGGGTTCTTAAGCAACACTTTTAAAAGAATACCTAGAAAATAGACATAGCTGTTTAATGATTTTTAATTGTACCAAAGTCCTAATTTGGCCAGCATCAGTAAAGACAGGTTTTCACTGACCAAATAATGAAAGTAATTGATGTTCCTCTCTTTATGTTGTTAAGTGCCATTGGTTCAGTTCCAACTCATAGTGACTCTCTATAGAGTTTCTGAGGAGCATCTTGTGGGTTGGATCTGTCAACCTTGTGGTTAGCAGCCCAGTGCTTATCTTATAGTGCCACACCAGGACTCCTCTCTTTATATGGGATACAAATGGAATTTATTTCAAAGAATGAATTCAATAGGTAAGTTAAGAAAAACTGCTAAATTTTTCATGGGAAACTTTAAACCTTTTGGAAGTTCAACCTTGGGAATCAAAGTTGGGTTTGAACTCTGATTGTCTCACATATTAGTTATCTATTGCTTACTGTTTATTTCTACATGATAAAATCTACTAACATTGAGTCGATTCTGACTCATAGCAACGCTATATATGGTTTCTGAGACAGGAAATCTTTACAGGAGCAGACAGCCTCATCTTTCTCCTTTGAGGCTGCTGGTGGATTTGAACCACTGACCTTGTGGTTAGCAGCCCAGTGCTTATCTTACAGTGCCACCAGGGTTCCTTACATAACAAATTGTCCCTTATGGCTTAAATAAAAGCAAATACTCATCTCACACAGTTTCTATGGTTTAAAAATTTGGGAGCAACTTAGCTAGATGATTCTGACTTAAGATCTATCATTACTTTAGTCAAGATATTGACAGGGACCAGTGGCACCATAGGACAAGCACTTGATCTCAAGGTTGGTTTGAAGTGAAAGGCCAGCGGTTCAAACTCACCAGTCGCTTCTTGGAGCTCCTATACAGGGTCGGTATGAGTCGGAACTGACTCCACGGCACTTAACAACAACAACAACAGACATCTGAAGCTCTGACAAGTGCTAGAGGATCTGCATACAGATTGCTCACTCACATGGCTACAGATAAGAGGCCCCAGTCCTTTTGCAAATTCTCTATAGGATTGCTTGTGTTTTCTCATGACACAGCAGTTGTCTTCTGCCCAGAATGAATGATTCAAAATAGCAAGACAGAAGCAACCACATTTTTTTGTTTGTTTAAACCTAGCTTCAGAAATGATACTTTTATTTCTATAATATCCTATTGGTTATACAAGTCAGCGCTATTCAGTGTGGGAGAGGAGGATATCAGAAGCTGAGGGTCATTGAGGGCCATCTTGGAAGCTCGCCACCACCAGTACCCATCTCTAACTTCAGATTTAAACCTCTGCCTTCGAGTCTGGTAAGTAAAAAGTAACAGAAAAGTGTCGACTCATTTAAGGTTTATGAGATGTCTTCTTCCCACTTTCAGCAAGTCTTTAGACAAGTAGCTAAAACTACTTGATTAGTTTCTCTATGGGAATTCACTGTGGGGCTTTCCTGGAGAGAGATAAAGGGTAAATTGTTTTCATAGTCCTTGCTTATTCTCTTTTGTGTGTTGTAACAGAGCTGGCTTAATATACCAAAGCCTTTGAGGGACTTGTTATTGTGGGACTGTGGTTTTGAGTTTAAATTCCCTCTTCCCTTTTGTGTTCTTATTACAGATTTACATGACAAGATAATTCCTGAAGAGCTTACATTTCTATAATCTATAAGTGATTCATACAGGCTCCCCAGCTTCTCAGATAAGTGTCCATGATACAAAATGTTTAAAATTTGACATTAGAAGTCCAAATAGCAGTGCTCCATGGAGGTTAGCTAGGTTTTCCTCTTGAGCTTTCACTTCGTGATTATCAGAACAGGAAGGAGAATAAGTGAAACAGATCTTATATGGAACTTGGGCAGTTTTCACTGTTTACTGAAATTGCAGTGAAGCTTAAGATACACAGAAAGGTTTGGGCTGACACTTTGGGAGATATTCTTGTTTAATTTATGAGTTCTAGATATTGTAAAAAATATGTATTTGAAAGGAATATAGCAAAGCACCTGCAGTACATCTGATTTTAGGAAAGAAGTTAAGGCTATTTGAGTTTCCATTTAAAACTTAACAACATTAGGAAAATTTGATTAATAGAGAAAGATTAGCTTAGTCTCATCCTGAATTGTTTCAATGATTTAGCTTTTCATTATGTAGCTAAATGAGATATTTTTTCCATTCCGTACTAAACATTTTATAGACACTCTTGTGAGCAATGATAACCTGTAGGAAAGTAAAAATTTAAAAAATGAAAGGTGATGGATGTAACCCTACTTTGAAATTATATAAATATTAACCACTGAAGAGTAAAAATTTAGAGGTGTGTATTATAACAAATGGAGTCCTGATGTGGCGCTGTGGG